CATGGGAAAACAAAGCTGATCCAATCGAGATGAAAAGGGGGACCAAAACAAACTGGGGAGGTTGGGAATCTCGACTTGGACCATAACCAAAGAGCAGCCGGGATACAGGCCAGGAACGACACTTACTCACATTAACTAGGTACACTGAAGCTTGTCTAACCCAACCAAGGGAGGTTTTGGAAGCCATGTGCTATAGGTTGACTTAAAAAGAAAATCCTAGCCCCGGTCACACGAACCAGGCTTGCTACTTTTTACCCACCTTTTTGAAGACTGTCGAATGCAACCGTTTTCTATCAGATCTAATCTTCATCTTGAGCTGATGCTCAAAGAATTGGATTAGATGCTGATAAGAAAGACGGTTGCCCCGCAAGACTTCCTCCATTCGCGTCGTCCAAATCACCATTCGAGCCGTGGCCATCAGCATCAGAAACACCATTCGTTTCTCCCCGGAATACATGGGGCGACACATTGTCACACGCGTATGCGCGATCCATGGACACTAGCTGTTCGGGAGCGAGACGAGCCGTCAGCTCGCCGACATGGTCCCATAAGGGGCGGACCTGGGGGCAATGGTAGAAGGCGTGCGCAGCCGTTTCTTCTAAACCAAGACCCACCGTTCACAGTCTGGCAAATCCGCCAAACCCCATATGAAAGCCTTGTCATTGAGAGGCAGCCGATTCCGAGCCAATCGCCAGGTAAGCGAAAACTCAGGGTTACTGAGGTAATCCGCCGCTGGCGTAGGAGCGATACTCCTCCTCCGACAAGCCGAGCGTATCACGAGTTTATCCTTCGCGCGACCCTCCACTAAACCACGATAGAAGAGGCCGTGAAAGGTCACTGGACCGGGGAATGGCCCTCAAGGCCAACCGACACTCGTGGATGAAATCCGACTCTTCCCGGAGCCTACAACGGCGCTCGGCCCTCGAGATGGGGGACTGATAGTAAGGCTAGGGAAGGCGTCCCCAACAATCCCCTCCAGAATCGGATCTCCCCTAGTCAATGCGCGGCGTGGGAAAGCCAACCTAGAGGCACGGATGTGACTCATAAGGTGCGGCATTCCCAGCCCCCATGACACGGACGTTTGGTGCAGACTCGTCTGTCGACCCTGTTCACGCGTCCCCTCCATAAAATGGAGGATAGCGATCGCTCGAGCACCTTCCTGCGGTCTTTATCTACGGACAACCGATAAAGAATCTTAAACACACACCTCCGCCCTGCCCTTCACGGACAACGCCGTCGATTCCAAGTCTCGATTCGACCTTTGCACGTACCAGACCAATTCTTCTCCAGCTGGAGGTCGGGCCCAAACCACACTCCAAGAATGCGGACAGGACCGTCCGTCCAACCGAAAGCGGCCCGGAAGATCGACCCCCTTCCAGGCACCTAACCGCAAGCCGGACGATGTCGTATATAACTAGTGAGCGAGTCAAATGATTTATTTCCCTTTATAGTTACCAATAGAAGATTGACAATCAGGAGCCGCAGAACACTGTATCCGTCGTGTATAAAGGCGGCCATCTTTGTTTTTCCTACCGGAAGGACCAGATTCAGGCGAACACAACAGAAGGAAGAACTACACTCTGCTGTGATAGGGTTTTACTGTCTGGAAATATTCACTGCCAACCTCTGGGTCCTATACTCGAAGACGACCGTCATGCAAATGTCTAACAGGAGATGGCAATGCTTCTGGTGTGATTTAGTTATAATTTGGTTTTCTACATTCCCATGCTGTGTTTAAGGAAATTTACTGTCACGCGGAGATTTTGTACATTTTCAAATTCTTAAGAATCCAAGAGTGTGCCACATTATCAAAGACTTTATAGTAATCAATCCAAGCTGCGCTAAGATTTCTACGTCGTCTCCTGCAATTTTCCAGGATCATTTGGTTTATCAGTAGTTGATCTTTGCAACCACATGAACCTCTTCTGCATCCAGTGGAAGAATGTTGTTTACTTCGAAAAAAGAGTTCTTACGGTTCGCCAGGACATACGTGATCAATTTATACGTGGAGGACAGACATGTTATTGGCCTATAATTTTTTGGATCATCTGTTTCGCGCGTTTTTGGCATGAGAAATGTAATACCTTCAGTGACCATTCCGAGATTTAATTGGGATTATTTATAAGCTGAGATAATGGAATATGCATACAACTGTGTTCCCCCTCACTGGAATATGATTGGCTGGTGTCAGTCATAAATACCGACGGATGTGTAGGTACGACAGAGTCAGAGCCTTAGTCTGAGAGCTTCTAACGACGCCCATTGGATTACGCCATTGATCTACACTTCTTACCTGCGTTTACCAGTCGATTACTGCTACCATATTCTACTTGGTTTAGTAGCCAAAACCACTTAGCTAGTTCAAATATATGGCTTCCGGGACATATCATAAGCATTGACAGAGTTTGTGCAAATGGATTCATGATAGATGACAAAGTAAAGGATTTCGTTCTTCCTAATATTATTCGTGGTTATATTTTCTCATTCCTGTAGAGATTTATCCAGTACTCGTTCTTCTTCACTTTGGATCCATTTGGAGTTTTATTTCTTTGGGCTGCTCCAAATATTCTCCGAAAGTTTTTGCACCTTGTCAATAGATAGTGGCTTTTTGACATGTATAACTGTTTTTCCAATTTCCCTGTAAAATTTCTTTAGGCCCGTTTAGAATATTTTATTTTGGCGATAGAATTTACAACGTTTAGCATATCGTCTTCTTCTGTGTGCCTTTAATTGCCGTTTCTGTTTTAGCATTTCCTTGATTGATAGAATGTCATTTAGTGATTTAATTTTATATTTCCGCTTGATCTTCTTGCGCATGCGTGTTGATATATTTGGGTTCCTAGTGTTTTCATCTAATATACGAATCTCACATCTGATTTCCTTTATTTCTTACGCCAGTTTTGCCTTCCAAGATGGCTCTCTTTGTCTGTTGTTTAATCTATTCATCGTTTTAACCCCAAGCTTCCCTGTAGGTACTAAAGCTGTTGCATATATAACATTGTTAACTTCTGTGATGTTTCCCAGAAGTTTACCCGTTAACAGTGTTTATAGTGCAGCGTTGTATATTTGCACAATGTGCAGATCAGACTTTGCCATATTAATTTTTGGGAGCTGGTCTCTATCTGACATTTGTGGAATAGTTCTTCTGTTGATTACTTGGATAACTTGGTTTCTCGCTTCGGGGATTTCACCTCTGTTGTTTTCAAGGAATTCTACCTTAATGTAGATGGACTCATCTTCAGTGACATCGTCTGGATAAACTCCAGCTTATGTCACAGGTAGTTTCTTCGGTTTTACTTATTTTATATCTCATTTATTTTAGTTTTTACCTCATCCTCTGTCATATGACTTATTTCTACTCTCATCTTTTTATTGCTTGAGTGATGGGTTATTTTATCCTGTCTTATATCTAGTTTTATCTTACCTATTTCTACATTTGAGAGTCTTTTCATTTGCACGATGTCCCTGAGGACATTGGCAAACATGTTGGGTTGAGATGAGGTCTTATTTCACTTCCTACCATAGTTCTCCATATTTGATATGTCTGACTCGTAGGTATTTTCTGGATTTTCGAAGGCGGTGAAAAATAATATCATGACTAGTTGATATTCTTCGCGGGAAGATTTCATTCTCTTTCTTTTTATTGCTTGATTCGGCATTGATTCAGTTGCTCTAAGGTTGGAAATAGTCCGGGTTTGATGAGCAAGTATCTCTTAGTGTTTGGAAGAGTTTGTTCCAGTGACAGATTTTTCGGCCCCAGACTGGTTCTTCTCTGAGGTAGGCAGCCCTTGTTGATCCTGATGACGGCTGATCCGATATGAAAATTTGTTGGCAATCATTGAGATTCTTAAACTATTGCGTTTTTATCCTTGAGCGCCAAAAGAGTAATTTTCTTCAAGTTACCAGCTCTAGGACGACAGTCGAACAAAACTAGAGAGCTCGTTCTGCCCATGAGATAGTTAGGGGAGGGGATTATATTCATATCTTCATGGTTAAAGAATTCATTATTGAGTACTCTATTCAGAGGGATAGCATAGGCGTATAGATATGACATTGAATATACAAAGTTTTAACTTAGCATACGTCACAGTGACGACTACCAGATTAAATATCAGAGGTGGACATACTTTAATATTGAGGATTGTTACGAAAAAAAAAAAGAGAAAGAGGAAAGGAACAAAAAAAAATTAAAATGAAAGAATTAAAGTTAAGTAAAGCCAAAGAAACTTAAAATAAAAATTAAAGAAAAGAAAAATGTAATTTAAGATGGTATAAACTTTACGATTGCTTACATGTTGAGTGGTAGACACAGAATGTCATTCGACAGATTTTCAACATTCCGACGCCAATGAGAGTTATAGTTATCAAGTTTTATAGGGTAGATCATCCCACCACTAAAGTTTGGCGTAAAGGCCATCAAGTTATTCATTAAACAAAGGGATAAAAACAAGAAGAAAGTATATTTTACATTTGGTGTAACTTGCTAACCACTAAAATATAAATTTCCAGTGAAGTCAGTCAAAAGGCAGAACATTGTTAGATAAAAACACATTATTATTACTATTCATTTTATTCATTATAGCAATAATAATAAACAAATAAGACAAATAATAAATAAAAATGATAAACAATACATAAATCTATATAATAAATGTGAATGTCAGTGTGTCACACTTTTTCAATTTTACTACTAGATATTGGAATCAGGCGGACTCCGTGAGCAAATTAAAAACATTCTTGGCTGGATCCGGACCCGCAATCTTGAAATTTTGGATTCCCAAATTTTCATTACTGCAATTGTTTTCGGATTCAGCCATCTTGGCTTCTACTGATAAAAACAATTAACAGGACACAACTCTTTACTTTCAATAGCTCATTTTCAAATGAAAAAATTACTGTTCTTAAATTACAGTGTTTCAAAATAAAATTGTCCGTGTTTTCAACTTTATTACGAGGCCGTCGCCCAACATACCATGCCATTTTGAAATCAGGCCGACTCAATGAGCAAATTAAAAACAGCGGATCCAGACCCTCAAATTCCCTCTCTATCACCTTCTACCTCTCCTCTCTCTCTCTCTCTCTCTCTCTCTGATGTCTTTCTCTTCCCCCTCTCTCTTTATTCCGTCTGTCTCCTTTTTATCTCTTTTATTCTACCTTTCTCATTCTCCTTTATTTATCTCCCTCTTTCCACATTTATGTCACTCCCTTTATCTTACTCTCTCCAATTGTCTATCTCCTTTCCCTCTATCTCCTATTATCACTCTTTATCTCTTTCATTCTACCTCTCTTTACCTCCACTTTTCTCTCTTTCCTGTACAGTTCTATACGTTTTCGGTATTTCGTTGCATCTAGACACCTACGTGACTTTGGAAATCATTGAAAAGTTTAAAAAAAATACTATTTACAATAAAGAAAAAAAATGTCCCCTTTTTTTTCATGCCTTCTGTTCTTTCTTTTTTTTTACAAGTTTTAGCCATTTTCTTTGCTATAAAATCAGATGCATTTTATACATGAAAATAAGCTTCCCTCCCCGCTCCCTGGAATTTCTCTGCCTTTGTAACTGTATCTTATACTTCATAGCGGTCTAGATACTTACCTGACGCAGGGCTCGTCCCTGGGCTGGTGGTATCACGGCTAGGACTATCTTGGACCGGCTCCGGTCTGGACCAGCTAGGACAAGCCAAGACCAGCTTTGGCTAGCTTAGACCAGCTCTGACCAGCTTGGACAAGCTATGACCAGCTAAGACCAGCTTGGACCAGCGGCCCGAGTGAAAACATTCGGGTCCCCACGTTAAAAACTGACCTTGTGTCACAAACTGACTCAGTGGTGGGGGGGTCAAGTAAATATTTACTTCCTAGCGGTCTATGCACAAAGGATTATGGTATATTCATTGTGTTGCCTTTCTCCATTCCACAACCTTTTTCAGGTATTCAATTCATGAGGTCTTCTTTGCTTCAGAAATTGGTAACAAATAGAAAAGAAAGCTAATATACTGACGAATTCATTCCCAATATGCCGCGTAACAGAGGTAACTCCATATTTATTAATTGTCTTTTTGATGAGAAAAGAAATCTCTACTGAACAAATTTATATACCAGATGATTCAGATTAATAGTGGAAATAAGCATTACAATAACGTGATAATGACTATGAATCACAAAAGTAAAGAAAATGTCGCTTTTGTTTCATATCTTCTCTTCCTTTTTCACTTTTGGTCATTATCTTAGCTTTAAAACCAGACGTTATTCTTATATATAAAAAGGTTTTGTTTACCTCTGCTGTGGCCAGGTATTGAACTCACAACTCTTTGAGGCAAGTAACTGGATTACTTCAACCAATGCTTTTATCCACTGTGCTATCAGTGTACAAATTTTTGGAACTTATAAACCTAACATCCCAGTAACCATTTTTTTTTTACCAGAGTTTGTTCGAAATTCCAATGTATATGAAAAAGACCGGAGCATATAATGGCCAAAACATTACGAATATGATAATAAAAATGAGGACAAAAGTACAAACAATTTAAATAGTGCAAATAAATCTTGTACATATCTATAAATTTTCAGGATTTTGTTAAGTCTAGACACCTACATGAGTTTAGAAATCATTCAAAGGTAAAAATATTTCATTTACAATAAAAAAAACAAAACAAAATGTCCTCTTTTTCATGTTTTTTTTTAACAAGTTTTAGTCATTTTCTTAGCTCTAAAACCAGATGCATTTTATACATGGAAATAAGCTTTTACCCTCCCTTGGGATTTTTCTGCTTTTTTTTAACTATGTCTTATACTCCCTAGCAAGGTAAACACATGATGATAATGATATTACTTTTTAATGAATCTTCACATAAATAGTATCAGAGAGCTCTTACTGAAGATCAAATGATATTAAATCATATCTTTTTCAATGCATTTACTCATTTCAGTAATGTTATCTGAATAGCTTTAATTTTTCATCAGATCTTCCATTTTGGGATTTATAAACCTAATCTCCGAGTACCCAATTTTTACCAGAGCTTTTTCGAAATTCTAATATATATGAAAAAGACCGGAGCGTACAACGGCCGAAACGTGGTGAATATGACAATAAAGTTGAGGACAACAATGCGAACAATTTAAGTTTTTTTCCTCTGGAATTTCTTTGCTTTTTAACTGCCTTATACTCCCTAACGATCTATATAAAAAGGATTAAGGTAATCTTTTGAGAAGTGACGTCACGTCACGACTCCCGTAACCCACTAGAGTTATAGGTTCACCACATATACTGAAGTCATCGAAACAGTAATATATCTAGAGCAAGATAATCTGACGTAGTCCACCCCGCTTTAGGGTAGTTTATGAATTCCGAGTTTTTCTTTTTCCTAAACTGATTGATCGATCAAGGCCAAAGAGACCAGTTTGCTTTACTGTTTTTTGTGCATAAAATTGATGGAGGCATAGATTGGCGCTACAGGATCATAAACAAAGAGCTCTACCAAATATAACAGAAACCACATCACTTGAAAAATTTCAACAGCAGCAACAAGGAAAATGGTTATTTCATGTAACACGATTAGAAAATAACATCAAGATATTGACGTTCCACACTACTTCAAACAAAAGGTTAGGACGGAAACCGACCCACGCTATCAATACGGAAAAGAGCAAAACAGTTACCGGACTTGAAAAACCTATTTTCCTTAATTTTTTTTTTTTAATAGAAAGGATTATCAATTTCAACTAAGAGCTACACTGACTGTTTAGCCAATAAATGACCAATCTTTCCTTAAAAAAAAGGCCTATATTTACAAAGTGAACGCAATAGCCTCGGTCAAAATTTTAACTTAGCCGGCCGGTTCCATTTTCCAAGCCGATAACTCTTACGCCACCATCATAATTACGCTCTGTTATTCTTATATATATATATATAAATCTAAAAACTATGTTTAAAGCATATGAAGAGACTCTTGCCGATTTTTTCTGGACTTGTGCAGCAAGTTTGTCTTAAGAATTTTCCGACAAAGCATTAGACATGGCATTTTGGTAAAGTCCTGTGTTTTTATCTCCTTTTTTTTTTACAAACTTGCAAAAAGTGAATGGTTTACCATTCTTACAAATTCGAATTAAACTCTAACGGAATTTCAGTCGCAGCAGGTAAGCAAACAAATGTCATTCATAGTAAGTATTTATAGCAATTTAAGTGCTGTTCACTGGACAAGTGTTTAATTGGTATGCTAAGTATTTCTACAACTTAATGTCAGGTAATGATACGTTTGAGTCCTACGCAACGGCAGTTGCATTAAGTGTCACAAAACCTTAAGATAGTGATGCGATTAACGAGCCAATTCTTTAATACAATATAACACTTTCATTTACATGTTTTGCTATCGGTGTTGGAAATGTAACAGTTAGCGACATGTAAATTAGAATCAGAGAAACGGGATCAAATTCCAGCCTACGCTATTGTGTTCACCTTCGTACTAATGCCTTTAAGTAAAGCATGAATTAATCTTTTCCCTCCCACCATATATTGGTTAAATAGCAGGGTAAGAGAGGTTCGGAAGACTTTTCTGGCTGGTTGGCTATCAGTCTAGGTGTAGGATTACTCCAAATTCAAAACCGTTGAGAAGTTAACGGAAAATCACTTCTACTAAGAAATAATGCTAATTCACAGATAATAAAGTAGTAATAATTCACATAATAAGATAATATTGGGTTGGTGCATAATTATCAGGCGTTTTTCAGCAATATTTATTATGAAGAAAAGGAACATAACAATTCAACAATAACATTTTTAAATGATTATTCCGAAGCATATAATTATCGACACGCATTTTTATAACCTGAAAATAAAATAATATTTTTATTAAAAAAAAAAGTAAACAAAACTGCAATTTTTATTAACGAATAAGTCGCCTACAAAAACGCTTGATAATTATGCACCAACCCAATAAAAAAAAAGAAGCCGAGGAGTCCTATGATTGCTCACCCCCTGAAGATACATAGAATTTTAAAAAACAATTGTCAGATTAAGCGCGAACGCAGACACTCGCTCCCTAGTTTTATTAGGTTGCAAATTGTACTAGGAATTCTTTGTTACTTAGCTTTGTTTTTATCACAGTGTTTAAGTTTTCTTTGACTAAATCATTGTGATGGAAAGCATATTTGCCTTAATAATGTCTGTGAAAAGAACAATAATTGAAGCATTTGCAACCAAGTCGTATTTTATCATGGAGCATATAGACTTGGAATACACTCGCGAGCCTTGGAATAAAAATATACCAATATGCAACCAATCATTACAAAGATAAAATATAATGAAACTTACTGATGAGGAAATTAAGCAAGCTGGCAAGAAAACTGAAGAATAATAAAGTATCCCAAGATAGTAAAGCTAGACTTTTAGAAATAGCTCACTTTCTCTACAAATTTAGATTTTATGAAGGAAGTTTAGAATCAGAAACGGATCCTCAAAAAATCTTCGTCCTGGGTATGACGATAAACTACATCCGGTAGCAAGGACTCTGATTGGGGTGTTTTAGCGTTAAAGCACCTCTTAATTGCTGTTCACCCTGACCCGTTAGGTTCCCAGCTATGGGCAAATAGTTACCCCCAAAAAAAAAAAAAACAAAAAAAAAACTGGGATCAAAACACTATGAAAATATAAAAATAGATTTTTCTAGTAAAAATACCAGCAATATATTTTTGAAAAAAATTACCAGCAATACATTTTTGGGAAAAAAATTACCAGCAATACATTTGACTCTCAACAAAAAATCCTCCTTACATAAAACACCTCAATGAAACCTGATCTACAAACTGATTTCTTACAAAGAATACATATTCTATTCATACGAACCTAGCCTAATATTCTTGTTGTCATTAAATAACTCATTGATGTTTATATGCCGTAAAATAAAGTAAACCAAATCAAACCAAAAAACGTGTTTTTTATCACGCATTATAGAATAAAAATGGTAGCCACGCACATACAGAGGTCTCAATTGAATCCATTATGGTGTAAAGATTAATTAACTTTATATCAGCTAGATTCTCATCGTCATATAAAAGTCAATTCCTCATAGCCAAATTTGAAATTTCGTTCTGATAAGGGGGTGTAATGATGGCATAAATATCTTCAAAAAACTCTAAGAAATTGCTTACCTCTCTAACAGGAAGTTCTATGCCCGCTATGTTGACTTCACGGCAGCATATGACCACATCAATAGTAATCCATTAAAAACCGTCTTCCAAGTCCTCTAATCCTCATCGATCTAACAGAGGTAAGTTAACGGGCCACAAAATCTTATATGACAGGCAAGGAACCCACGGAAACATTTCATATCTCATCAGGAGTACGATGAAAGAAAACGAGCGGCTCAATCTATTTACTCTCTTTTTAAACTATGCCCTGCGCATTTACAAATACAGATGAAAAGAGATAGTTCCTGATCACTTAGTAATCAATACAACATCCCAAATGAATAGAAAAACGACCCTGCTTCCCCTTCAGATCCCAATGTACTTCAGAGTCTGTCTATATTTCTGTGCTATATTTCAAGGACACATGGCACAGTGGATAAAGGCGTTGGTTAGATCCAGTGACAAG